ACCTCCCCTCCCCCCACTCCCGTCGGTCCCGCCGCAAGCGCCGTCACCGGTCTCAGCTCATCAGGATCCCACGGGGTGAAACGCTGGATCATGCCCCGGGGATGCGACAACCCCAGCCGAGGGACAGATCCCACAGGAGAGCTGCCAACGCGCCCAGCAGAAGACCCCCAGCGGGCCACGCTCCGAGCAGGAACAACTTTAATGGGCACAAGCCTGGTGTGCGGGTGCGCTCGTTAAGACTTCTACACCATCCAAAAATAGAACATCCAACAAAATAACAAAAATAGATTATTCCAGCTGCTAGAGGGTGTTGCGGGGGCAGAGTTACTCTGTCTGCGCTGGGGAAGGACCCTCTCGGTGACCGCCCGCAAGGGCTGAAGATGGGGCTTTTCCCACCCATCGTCGCTGGCCTCAGGGCGTGGGAGGGGACGTCCCGAGGCAGCGGGGGACCTCTCTCTGCCCCTTCTGCCACCTTCGCTGCCCAGGCGAGCATCCCTCCCTCCTGCCCCAACCAAGGATGCCAAGCGAGGGATGCGCTGCTGCCCGGCGCGGTGGGGTGGGGAAACGGGGGCTCGGCGGCCAACCCCGCCGCCGGGGCCTGGGCTCCCACCCACCCCACGAGGTGGGGTACGGAGTAGGGGGGGGGGGCTGTGCAAAAGCGGATGGCGTCAGCCATTCCCGCGGCCGTCCCCTGCACGGGGAGCCCTGGCACGGCACAGCGTGGCCATCGCGGGGCTCAGCCAAGGTGGCTCTGGCTGCTGTTGGGCTGCAGTTTGACGCTGTCAGAGCTGCTCTGCGAGTCCGGGGACTTTCTCGCCTGCAGCACCATGGTCCAGTACCAGAGGAAGATGAGGAAACCTGGGAGAGAGGAAGGGTGGATGAACCTCCTCTGATGACCAACGGCAGTCGAGAGCGAGCCAGCCAGCCTGCCCGGGACGGCTCCTCTTGTACCCCATCACCACCTCGCCAACACCCTGGTGCCCTTCAGAGGAGCCCAGCGTCCAGGCTCACCTTGGAGGGAGTTGATGATGGTGAAGATGTAGAGGGAGACAAGGCGAAAGACACCGGAGGTGAAGGAGAAGAAGACCAGTGCCCAGGGGATGCCCAGCAGGATGCTCAGTCCAAAGAGGGCTAGAACGTGCTTGAGCTTGTGGCCTGTCTTGTTCTGCCGGAGGATCTCCCGGACCATGGCCCCCAGCATGATCGAGTTAAAGAGGAACACCAGGCTGAAGAAACCCAGGTTCACGACATTATGGATCAGGGGGCTCGTGATCCAGCATCTGGAGGGAGGAGAAAGGCAGAGGGTTATGCTGTGTCATCCCACAGGGACATAAGTTGGAGGGCTTGGGGTAAGCACGAAGGTGTGGAGCAAATCCAGTGCCCAGCTTAGCTAAATAGGGAGGGCAGATTCCCCCCACATAACCCCCAGAAAAACCACAGGTGGGCTAAGTAAAGCCTGCAGGACCCAGCGAAGGTCCAGCCAGTCGACCTTATCAAATACTAGGGACTAGGCAACACATTTCCCACAGCTCACATGGTTGCATTGGTGGATTTGCCACTGACGGATTCGTAGACGGGAATGGAGAAGGGGCCGTAGTTTGTCCAGCTAGCCAGGAAGATCAGCGTCACGCAGAAGAAGGGGAGTCCTGGGTGGCAAGAACAGAGTGAAGTGGCCACCCTTAATCCCTGCCCCTCCATCCTTCTGGAAGGATTTGCTGCCCCTTTCTCCCTGTATAAAGTACAAACCAATGTCCTCCCTCCCGAGGGGAACCCGAGGATGGAGCACACAACAAGGGCGCCTGGCCTACGCCCGGACCCAGCAGCGAGCTCGGAGGTGCTGACCCCAGCCAGGGTTCTCCCAGGGCTGTGGAATTTTAGGCCACAAAAGATCATGAGATCTTCCAATGGCAGCCTCCTGCCCAAAGCACGGCAGAGATGCGTGGGTGCTTCCTGCATCAAGCCCATCTCTCTGGGCTGCCCTGGACCTCTCTTTCAGAACAAGAGGATCCCATTACTATTTAAAGACCCCAAGCAGTGGCCAACCCATGCCTCCCTCGCTGGGTGACCCCCAGGGTGACCCATCCTTGCTCTAGCACCGGCTTCTGCTCTCAGCCATCAAGTCTCCTTCTCCACCGAGTCTCTGACCCCTCTGCTCTCAGACATCCGCTCCCCCACAGCTATGTCTCCATCCCCATCCAGGCCCACAGATGGTGGGCACCTACCCGGGTGCCCCTCCGCCCCCGTTGCCCGTGCCCTCAGGGCATCTGGGCCTCCCCCGTGCTCACCCCAGCCCACCAGGCAGAGCTTGAGGAGGAAGTGGTCGTGGTAGGCGTTGAAGACGTCGATCACAAGCCGGTAGAGGTTGTAGCCCTCGATGCCCATCCAGGTGAGGCAGCTCAGGAGGGAAAAGTGCAGGAACAGCCCCCCAGCTCTGCAGACTGCCTCACTGCTGCTGGAAGCCAAGTGCTCGGAGATGAGGAACGCGACGTCCAGGAGGAAGATGGCGCCCAGCAGGTTCATGTGGATGTGCATGCTCGTGATCTGGTCTCGTTGCTTGCTCCTGAAGAAGCGAGGAGGGGGAGACCTCACCACCGTGCCTGGCCAGCATCCCTGGTGCCCTGCAACAGCCCACAGCTTTGCACGGGGCAACTTGCCCCCACCAGAAGGGCCAGGAGACCCTCCGGTGACATCAGGGCTGGGAGCCTAACCCCATGGGTGGGACCACCCATTGCACGTGCAAATTCCCTGCATCTGACCCTGCATTTCAGGTGCAGGCCATGAGGAGCAGGGAGCGACACCATTTCAGCCCTGAATCAGCCACGTAGGATCAGTGACGTGACTCAGCAGACACTCATGTTCTCCGCCAGGCTCTTGAAAAGATCTTTGCAGGCTTCTGCTTGCCAGATCCATAACAACCGCCAAGCTGATTTTCCAAAATCACTGAAACCAGCCAGCGTTTTCAAACACCCTGCGGAAGACTTGACCAAGGGGGTGGTTTCTGCAGAGAAGAACTCTGCTTTCTTCAAGCGTGGCTCCTTCATCGTGCTTCTAGCCAGACCACCAGCTGTGTCTGGAGAGCTCGCGCCCACCCCGGTGCGGTGGCAATGGACAGGACACAGATGGGGAGCGTGGGGTGACCTGTCAGACCATACCTGAAGTGGAGGAAGAAGATGGTGCAAATGGATGCCAACGCTGAGATCAGGCAGCCGACGTAGGTTATGATGCTCAGGTATTCCCTGTGTATGTAGGCAATCTCCGGGGAGGATACCTGAGGAGGAAGAATGAGAGACTGTGAGGAACAACCACCAGTGGGAAGGACATAGAGAGCTGTGGGATGGCACTACCCACCATCAGCACGGCAAAGTAGGTGAGGTGGTTGCATCTGCAGTCCGTCCAGCTGTCTGCCGTCACTGTTGTACAGCCATAGCTGTCCCAGCTCCCAGCACTGGCTGCGCAAGAGAAAGGGAGAGCGTCTGGTGAGCAGCGGGAACGTCTGCTTTAGGTTTGTGGATCTCCAGGGCGAGGTGTCCATGGCGGGGGGGGGAAAAAAGGGGGAGGTCCCAGAATGTCCCATGCCAAGCACACAGACCCAGATAGGAAACTTGGCATGTCCCACGCCAAGCACACAGACCCAGATAGCACCCTTGGCACCAGGACCCCCATCCCTAGGGAGGGGGAAAGCTCTCAGGTTAGCTGTGGAGGGGAAAACCTGAAACTTATCCCATGGGAAAGGTTTATGGAGCTGGAGCTCCATAAAGTTCCATATGGAGGAAGGGAGGTGCAGAGTGACTTTCACTCCTACCAGCAGATCCGTGGAACCCTGCAAAAGGAGCAAAGGCAGCGCCTGGCTTCACACTCGAGCGCAGCAGCACTCACCGGAGGTGTCCTCCTGCCAGAAGACGCACAGTGGGCTGGCGTTCATCTGCAACGACAAGACCATGGGCCCCGGTCAGGATGCAGCTGTAGATTCGCTGCCCAGCCAGCACATTTCGTAGGGAAGAACACTGGGCAGGAGGCAGGACAGTCTCAGGACACGAACTGTCCCGTACCACAGGAGCGGGCTCCGGCAGAGACCGTTCTCTCGGCAGCTCGTGGAGCAGGTACTTTCCCTCAGGTCCCCTTTTTCACCCAAGGGGTTCAGCTTTGAGCAGGCGCTTCACAGGGCCATGAATGAGCCAAGGGAATGTTAACTCAAAGTGTTGCCCAGCCCTGGAGACAGTGCTGACGACAACACATCTGCAAAGCAGCATCTCCTGGACAGGCACAGGCAGCACCACCACCAGTGCGCGTGGCAAAGCCATGGTCATGATACAGCCCCAGAAGATGTAGCAGACCCTGTACAGGTAGGCCAGGGGCAGGGACCTGCCGGATTGTGATCACCCTCTAAGCTGGCAGGGCCTGAGCCTTCCTTGCTCCTCCATTCCTGGTGGGATCAGGTTCAACAAGGCTGTTTGCCCACCTACCGGCAGCTGGCCGTGGAAGA